CAGGGAGAATAGTTGTTGTCAGGTGTTGGTGAATGCTGGCATGTCACCCAAAACATTGTGGTGTGTCACCTTTGACATGTGTGACATAGGTTTGCCATCACTGTTCTAGATGCTAAATCATCTGTGCTTTGTTATTATTGTCTCAGTTACTTTGAGGTATGGGTAGAACCTCCAAAGTTTTCCTACTGACAAGTATGGTCACATATGCAATGCAAAGCTTATTTAGTAGCTCACCTAACCTTGTGCTGCTTAATATATTAGGACTACAATTCCCTGAATTCCCAACCCACATGGCCAGTGAGAATTATGACTAGGAATTCTGGAGTCTGTTGTTCAGTACATCTGAAGAATATCAGGTTGCTGAAGACTGGCAACTGATGACTGAAACTTCAGATAAATTATCAAATATAGACCAACTCTGTGACTGAAACTTGGATCCTTGTATTTACAGTATTTGGGAATAATTATTAAGTGCAAGAGACTAGATGAAACAGTGGTCTAGTATATTTGAGCCCTAAAATACAAGAGACTTCAAATTGTTTATTGTATCGAAATTGTGACATTGCATAGTCACATATGCAATACAAAGCTTATTTAGTAGCTCACTTAACCTCCTGCTTAATATATTAGGACTACAGTTCCCTGAATTCCCAGCCCACATGGCCAATGAGAATGGCCCACATGGCCAACTGTCTCACTTATCCCTGACATTGCTTTATAATCTAGATCAGTGTTTCTCAACCTTGCTCACTTGAAGCTGTGTGGACCTCAACTCCCAGAATTCTGGCTGGCTGGGGAATTCTGGGAGTTGAAGTCCACACAGCTTCAAGTGGCCAAGGTTAGAAACACTGATTTAGATCTACCTTGCCTGAGCCAGTGACAGGGTCATGAGAAAAAAGGTGTAGCAGCTTTTAATTGCTTGAGAACAAACTTAGGTTATACTTTGACACATCCGTCTCCTAGATATGATCGACTACGCCATCATCTGTTGCCAATGTACAGCTATGATCCTGCGGAGGAGCTGCATGAGGCTGAGCAAGAACTCCTGGTGGAGCCAGAGGATGCTAAAGTAAGCTTACATGGGGTGTATTTTACACATTACACACACCAGTTGCAGAGCCATGTTTCAGGATATGTACAGTTGTGTGTACAGATGTGATTTGCTTATGAAACTGTCAAGTATGATTGGTTGCTTGAAAATAGAGGCTAGGGGAGGGAAGGAAGCAGTTAAGCAGTATATTTTCAAGTTATCTGTGATTCAGTTTGCTCTGACTGGATCCCTTAACATGGTACCTAGAGGTGCAGTATAATCAGGAGCATGTCCTTTTTGAACTCATCATGCACTGCTTGACCTGTTGTACTTAAAAATCATTAAAGGAAGGGAAGATGTCCTACAGCAAAACAATGTACCATCATTCTTTTCAAGAATGGCCCACGTAGCCCCATTAGCTTCCTTAGAAAATAAAAATGGTGATGATTGTAGTTCTAATATTTTGTTTTGAAGGGCACTCTTCTCTTCCAAAAAGTAATAAAAGTAAGTGGGTATAACAGGGCCCTCTTTTGGGTATTAGGGGCTAGGAGGAATGACAAACAACATTCTGGTGATTTGCCAGTGATTATATTTCCTGTGGCATCCATTTTATGAATAGGCAGGCCCGTCCTTAGTCATTTTGCAAGTGCACTCACACCATGTTCACAAAACATAACCCCTGAGTTATGTTATATCAAGACAACATGAATTGTCCTATAGTTATTGTGTGAGCAGTGAGTTCTGAATACTTTTTTGGCTATTTAGGAAAGAGTGGAAATAGAATAGTTGTTAGTTTTATCCCATCTTATAGTTTAGGGCTATGCTTTTTTTCTTGAGCTGCATTGTTCAAACATGGGATGTTCGTTTGAGCTAGTTTCAACCCCTTTATATACTCTCATTCTGTTTTTCTTATAACATCATCACTATTGTTTTTCCCCTTAAAAAAAGTAAAGAGCTAAGCTAAGAACCATGTGCATCTCTGGGATAAATTGCCTACCCTAATATGTAATACCGAAATGTTAGTATATATCACAAAGCTTTCTACCTGAAAGTGCCTTGTGTCATTTTAGTTGTAGCCTTTTACAAACTAAATAGGGAGGTTACTAGTAAGAAAAATTCAAACCTTTTGTTCTCTGGCACTTTCAGGAATGTGAGAGATGCAAACCAGAACAAGGGGAGGAGGAAGGGTCAGTTTTCTTAAGTCTGACAAACAGCATGTTAAAAAGGTGCAATCACAGAACTTGCTTGCTGACTGAGATTACAGAAAGGTGTGAGCATAGCTAAACAAGCCAAGTATTTTTTTTTTTAACAAGACTGATAAATAGGACATTTGACTGAACACTACATCAGTATCATGAATAGAATGTCTACATGAACAATACTGGAAAATAAGTGATGATTAAAGCATTCTTTTTATATTATGGGTAACCAGTATTTCTGCTGTATCTGTTAACAGTGTTGAAATGATAAATGTTGAAAGAAATGGTCCCCAACTGTCTGTTTTCATGGCTGTATAAAAGAGGAAGTGATTTGCTCACAGAAGCATAAACATGCTTTCTACGGGCTGTTTTATACAGCCAGTGCATGGGAGCTGGTTTTTCTCCCTCCTCCTTCCCGCTTCATAGATGATTTTCACAAAGAATGCTGTTTCCATTTCGCTAGTGTTGGCCCTGCAAGGGGAGCACCCATCTCCTTCCCATTAAAACTTTACCAGAGGATTTCCATTTAAGCATTTGAGGTTAGGGAAGTAATATCGTAGTTCTAACAAAAACTGCCATTTTATTATTCTCAGTCATAATAATAGGTTGTGGAAGCTGTTGATTCTTTGAAAAGATGCTATTGCTGAAAGTGTGGTGGTGGTATTAAGTGTGTGTGCTGTGTATTACAGGTGATGCGAGGTTGGGGAGGATACCAGCCCTATCGCAATTCATTTATGGATGTGAAAGCTTGATGCTGCTCAGCTCAGACTGACCACAGAGTATAGATGGATGACCTCTTCTACCTGGCATGTGTGCCAACCTGAATGCCATTAACATTGCTGCCTTTCTTTACACTTCAGTACTATAGCCTCTTGCCATGACTTCCAGTAACAGAAGGTGAATGGGTGCCAGCCCTATCAAGGAGGTTGGCACTGAGCATCTGGTACAAAGAGCAGCTTAGGGAGTTGGAAAGTTGTCTTTGGAACTAGAACAGCTTGCTGTGCGGCATTGTTCTTTGTATCAACCGTCTCCTGATTTGCATTTTATTTGAATGATGAGATACAGGAGTTTCTGAAATTTCAAGTAAAATATTACTGAATAGCTCTTGCATTATGGGCATCAATCCTCAAAAGCTCAGCTTCATTAAAAAAGCAAAAACAAAGCTGTTGACCTCCACTTCCTTTTGTGAATAAAGGGCATCAGAGCTGCAGCTGCTATGATATTCCAGCACATTTGCTAGCTGCCTTCTCTCCTTACATGCCTAAGTATGTAAAAGGGTGTATTATTTAAAGTTGTTGGATTCCTGTGAGGTGTTGCTGAATAGATGCGAGCAAAGTGAATAAAATCACCAATTGCATAGCTCGGTGGTTGAGGGGTGGTGGTGTATTTTTTAAAATAGGTATAATGAGTACATGATCTCTTTGGAATTGTTTGCATGCTACATGCTGGGAGGATGCAGTTTAGCTAGGAAGGTCATACAGATGGTTAGCATGTCTATCAGAAGGGACCTTGGTTATTTCTGAGAGTTGTTTCCATTGGTGACATGTTTGAGCTCAACAGGATGGCTCTTTCTATGCTCACTTTGTATTTCGTATTTGGGAAATCATCTCTGTTTTGTAAATAAAACCGATCCTGACCAGGAGCATCTGTGGCAAAACGTCAAGCTTTTCCAGTGCTGTAACCTGTTATGCCTGTCTTTGTGAGTACAGCTTGTTACCATTGATGTACCTGTGGTGGACTGAGGACGTGTTGGTGCAGTAATATCATTGCTGCCTTGCTGAAGCTGAAAAATCTGTGCTACCCATTGCTTGCTGAGCCCAACTAATGGACACAGATTATGCACCTAATGAGAAAGCTGCACTGGTAACTTTGAGAAAATGTTTTAAAGAGTATTTTGCTTGCCTTCATGTCTTTTTCCCCTGATGTTTTGATTTTTAGCAGGTTTGCGGGTCTTCCACAGATTTTAAGAACACTGGGATGTGACTTACATTGCCTGTACCTGATGCCTTTTGAGGTTGAAATAATGTATTCCTAAATGCGAAGGAAAAAAGAAATGTGAAGACTGTGGTTCTGGAAATAAAGTTAATTTCTCCGTGACAAGACTGCATGCATATGACAATACACATTGCAGCCATTGCTTCCATTCCTAAACACACAAGATTAATAAACTGGTGGGGCAGCTACGTGGGCTGAATTAATCTGGTTTGAAGCCACTGTGAACAGAAATAGTTGCCACTCCCTGCATCATCTTCCAGTTAAATCAATTTGTTCTCTGCAGTTATTTTTTATGTTGTCCCCAATCTGTATGCCTCTAATCTATATCTCATATTGTCTGTTAACGTCTTGCTTTGCTACGGATCTGCAGGCAAAGGACTGCAATGTCGTGATTTACATAGTGAAGTTCTTAGTTCCTAAATGTACTAAATGCTTGTTCTCTCATATGTACTGCATTTACTTCCAGATGTCTTACTAGATGTCTGTCTCAAAATAGAAATAGATTTCCCAAATAGAGATTAATTCTGCGTCTCCCTTCCTACAGTAGCTGAAGAATAGATTTAAGAGTAACCTCCTTCAGCTTGAGCCATTCTAAGTGTTAAATTACTACTCTCATTGTCCTATGGCTGGAGTCCATTTTCTGTTGGGCAAAATGAAAGTTCCTGTTTTGATCTTTCTAAAAAATTCAAGTCCAGTGCACTAGTTGGATTTAGATATATAATTGGCTGATATCCGCTAGCACCAGGGGCATCAGGTCAGGATTTTTTTGTCATTCTTTCTTTGTCCAGGCAAACGTTCTAGAGAGTTGAGGTCCTTCCAGAGCAGTATGAGGCAGGATTGTTCTATTTTTGAAAACTTGTGTGCTTTTTTGGTAAACATCCATTGGATGCAAAAATTAAAATCCTAAAATTGGCTGTACTGGTGTCCATTATTTGAAAACAGGAATGCAGAAGCAAAAATAATCTCTTCCTATTTATAGCATATTCAAAGTGACATTCTGACCAAAGTATTCTCCAACGTACCATGATGGGAAGTGGTTGTGAAACATGAATTTGGGATTCTGGCTGTAGTCTACCTTCACTTTACAGGAGTTCTGTCTAATTAGCTTCAGAGTGTATTGCCATGTCTGTTTTAGCCCAGAGGCATACCAAAATATTAATTTCATATCAGATAGTGAAGAGCATCTGGGGGTTCAGGTACTATTTCTTGGGTACGTGTCTCTGTTGAGTACAGGCTACATCTTTTTTTAAAAAAAGTACCTTAAATCTGATTATTCTTATTAAGGATTAGGAATCCACTAGATTCTTTAAAATGTAGACAATTTTTAGTT